GGCACGTGACTGAAAGTGAATGTGGGAGAAGAGACAGGTAGTGGAAGAGGGATAATTTGTTTGTTTTCATGACTATGAAATCTAGACCTGGATCTAAGGAGAGGACTTGGGAGTTAGACTGGAATTTACCAGGAGGTTCTTCTTGGAGACAGTATTACTTTAGGACCAACAGAGTGACTGCTTCAAATTAGCTAATTCTTGGCCCGACTGCTTTCTGTTTTGCTCATTGGTTCAGAATTGTGGTGAGGTCAGGAAGTGTTCTTGAGGAGAATGGCTGAAAACAAGACTGAGTGTCAGTTGCCGAGGCATCGCGTGCAAGTACAGTCGTGACAAGTTATTTTCAACTCCCTAGCTCCGAAGAGGTGACGCTATTACAGAATAGCATGTGCAAACACTTCAATTCAGAGTGATACGTCCCAGTGTGAGCCGTCACATAGTGCAGAGCTTTATGCCTTTCTTCCCCTTGCTGGATTGATGATACGAAAAATGTTCTAATACAATTGAAAGGTGTTCCAAAGCAAAGGTCTGTTCTTTTGCATCTAAGAGTCTGTAAGTCAACAATCTATGAAATTAGATATAGATTGCTTTGCAAATGTTTACATTGTAAAAATTTCCCCTTCCTGCTTAAGACCTCTAAAAAGTATAACCAACCAGAGGGATAAGAATTTTATGTGGCCTAAAGGAAAATGCATAGTAACTTCTTTACATACCAAGAGGGTTAAAATGGTGCCCATCTATTCAACCTCAATGAATGTCTACTGTGCATGTGGACACAATTGCGAGTCTGATGTTTGAGGACATTCTTAAATTCATCCATAACATTGCCAGGGTAGGGCATCCCTGTTTATTATTTTATTTTTATTTATTTATTTATTTAAGAATCTTCACATCATGTCTCACCCCAGTCTTAGCCAACCCAGATCACAGACACGTGTGTGAACACCTGGCATTCCAGGGTCTTCCCATGTGGGTCCGTGTGCGTTGCACTGCACCTAAACCTGGCTCCATCAGCTCTGTCTGTAAAAATGGCTTGGATTGAGAACTCCTTGAGAACTCCAAACTCTTACTTCTGATTTAGATCAGAGCAAGGCTTAGGGGGGAAGATGTTTATATTTGGATCAACACCAGGGAGAGCTGGTTGGCAGAAGAAACTTGTAAGAGAATGGTGTCGTGTGCTGAGTTGGGGCTAGAGAGTTTTAATTTATAGAAATTGCCCGCAGGATGCATTTTCTAATTATATTGTTCTTTTTTCCCTTAAAATTTGTGACATCATTTTTGGATGTGAGTTTAGTACTAAAATAGCTTTTAAGAACAGACATCCTCAAACACCATGTGCCAGCGAGCCCTCACCTTCTAGTTGAGGCTCCTCCAGCATGTCCTGCATTTACTAACTAGTGGTCCTGCATTTACTAACTAGTGGTCCTACATTTACTAACTAGTGGTCCTGCATTTACTAACTAGTGGTCCTGCATTTACTCACTAGTGGTCCTACATTTACTAACTAGTGGTCCTGCATTTACTAACTAGTGGTCCTGCATTTACTCACTAGTGGTCCTGCATTTACTCACTAGTGGTCCTGCATTTACTCACTAGTTGGTGTCAGACCTGAATACTGAATCAGACCTGACTTCTAGACAAGGGTTATGCTAAGTTACTTCTAATTAAAGGAGGAAAAACAAGAAAACAGAAAAGTATGTTTTTCTTAATCTTTTATGAATGCAGGATAGAAAAATAAAGTATTTGTTTTATTCTTTCTGCACTGCAAATATGCTCATATTGGTAAGTGCAGATTATTCTCCTAGTTAGAGGTATATAAAAAGGGGCATTCATGTTCTTTGAAATTCAAAATGAAACAGGGAAAAAATTTATTTACAAATGTTTCAAGCTGTTAATTTGTCTTAGGTTATGCCAACAGTGGATCTATTTTTTCCCCCTAGTTCAATGTAGAAAACACAAAAGGTACTCAATCTATGTTTGTTTAATGAGTAAATAACCAGAATCAAACTTCTTTGGGGACATAATGTTTGCCAGGCCTGTTGAACATGATCCAGTCCTCAAGATTCGACTCTTTGCCTCGCCTCTCTCAAGAAGCCTCTGAAATCCTTTAATAAAAAGTCTTCTTGGGACCAGCAGATGGCGTAATGGTTACATACATCATTGGCCTACTATGTAGTCGACCGCGGTTCAAGTCCCAGACCTGGCAACTTAAAATTCACACTGGGTGTGTTTGTGTGCCTGCCCAAAATTCTTTCTTTCTTTTTTATTTTTAAAAAATTCTTTCTTTTTTTTCTTTTTTGGAGAGGTTTTTGCTATAGGGCGCGTGCGCTCGCCAGGCAGAGAGAGAGACAGAGAGACAGAAAGCGAGAAATTACCCCCCAGGGGGGATGGTCACGCTGCAATCCCTTCTCCTCCATTCTCCTCTTGGGATCTTGGGCACACACACACACGCGCCCGGTGTGTTTTAAGCCACCGGGTCCGGGACTTGAACCGCGGTCAACTACATGGGAGTCCAGCAACATAGCCATTACGCTAACTGCTGGTTCCTCCTGCCCAAAATTCTGAGAGGAGAATGAAGGAGAAGGGATTTTGCAGTGTGGCCAGCACCCCAGGGGGCGATTTCTCACTTTCTGTCTTGCTGTCTCTCTGTCTCTCTGGCAAGCATATGTGTCCTATAGCAAAAATCTCTTTTAAAAAAGCCTTCTCCTTTCTGTATAACTATCATCCACATAATTTGCTTATTTTTCACACCTAGTAATTCCTTTTATTTTTCAGTTTTGCCAGAGAGGAGCAAGGAGAAAAAAAGGTGAGACAGTGCCTCCTCCCATGGGAAATGCCGTGGCTCAATCCATGCTCCTTCATTAGTCCCTCCACCGTGTGTCCTTCCTTTAGGAATGCACATACATGTGTCTGGCATGTTTCTCAAGCCCCTTGGTCTGCGTCTTGAACTTTACAGTTGGCCATATGGAATCCAGCTGTCTTAACCATCATGCCATGGGGCTGGACCCCATATCTAGCAATTCCTTACAACTATTTATTACATGCCCATAAACAACTACTGTAAACACTGTTTGTATATTCCAGGTTCCCTTAGGAAAGCCTTAAAATCATCAGAAAATTAATAATAGTTTTTGAGACTAATATTTTGTCTGAGGATCAACCATTTGAAGAAGTCATTTATTTATTTCTTCCATGAATGAGAGAGACAGAGACAGAGAGAGAAAGAGACAAAGTGACAGCACTACGCAATCAGACCCTAACCACGGGCACACACAAGCCCAGCGTATGCAGAAACATCTCTGGACATGGACCTGGGACCTTGCCTATGAACCAGCCTCTCAGAGCATCGTGTCTGATCGCCGGGCCACTGTCCAGTCCCCAAGATCAACCGAAAAATAAAATGCCAGGTCCCGAGTATAGGAGGACTAATTTAAATCTTGATTATTATTTTCAAAGTTTGTAAATTGAGCTCCAAATATTTATATGGAGCAATACAAATTATTGGGCATTTTTATGCTAAGTGGAATGCTTTACTGTCTAATAGAGAAAACATACAATATGGAGACAAAAACTAGGGACCGAGATGTAATAATGAAAATGTAGGAAAAATCAGAAAGCATCAAAAGGTTGATTATTTCTTACTTTCCTATTAGTGGCTTGGCAGATTTTCTTCTACTTGGTTCAAAAGGTTTACTTTTTGTCTTTTTCCTTTTTTAATTTGCCAGCAGGTATGTGTGCTCGCTGAAGAGAGACAGACAGAGAGAGAGAGAGAGAGAGAGAGAGAGAGAGAGAGAGAAAGCACTCCACTGCCATGGGGGATAGTCAGGCCATTCTCCTCCATTTCTCTCTCCTTTTGGGATTTTGGGCACACACACACACACACGCACACACAAGTGCACGTGTGCACACACACACAGCATGTTTTTCAAGCCACTAGGTCCAGACTTGAGCTGCACAATTGACTCTGTGAAATCCAGTCACCTAACCCCTCCAGGCCATGTGGGCTGAACACCAAAGGCTTCTTTTCAATTAAATTCGCCCATCTTGAAATACAAGGAAAAAACCCACGAAGTCTGAGAAACAGAAGATATGGAGGATGGAACTGGCTTTTGCAATGGGTTTACAAATATTGAAGAAAGGTCTCTGGAAATGGTTTTCTTTGACCCACATGGTCCCACTGGAAACCACCTGGGGGAGGGCGAAAGTCCTAAAGGACAGGAAATCCACATTCATGCGAAAACACCAATGTGGTTGAGTATTTAGCATATTGGTTGCTGTTTATATGGGGGGAGGTGAATGGATATGTTTCAGCAGAAACTTTCTGAAAACTTATGGAGAGAAGCTAGGGTGAGAACAGGTCTGGATGTTGTGAATGAGATCAAACTAGTAAATTCTAAATTCCTTACGGTTCTAAGAAATCTTGACTCTTTTCTTGGCATCTATTTAACCTTTCTTATGATTTTTGGTTACTATTTTGCCATAAGTGAGAAAGAAGATCCATAGTTTACTATGGTTAAGTGTTTCAAATAGTAGAAAACGCTTCCCAACCAATGCATCTGATCTTTACATTTTCCTTGATTAAGGAACTGATACTATTTCTAGTGTGTGTGTGTGTGTGTGTGTGTGTGTGCGTGTGTGTGTGTGTGTGTGAGTGTGTTTAAATAGGTCATAGATCAACAAGGGTCTATGAAAATACAGTGTTCATATTTTAAAGGATCGTGTCATTTTAGCAGCAGGTCTGGAAAATTAGTTCCTGGGATGTCTAGAATTTATATTGGGTTGTAAAACTGAAGTATGGGCCAAGGGTTAACAACCTTGAATTTTGCCCTTCAAATTAGTCTCCGAAAATCTTCTCTATTATAAATACATTACTACTGGGTAGTGTCCTTCTGATTGATATGCCCAGAGCTACCTTTATCAGCAGTCTTTTAAGCACCAATCCTTCATTTTGGTTCTAAAAATGCGCTGGGCTCCTCCTCCCTGGTTGGGACATCAATACGCACCTGCCAATACAGTTTGATGAGCTTGGCAACACACGGCTCGCCTCCCCCACTGAGCCAGAGCATGTAGTCAGCTATCATGGCGCTCCTGGGGACAAGGACAGATTCTTTAGGACAAGTGGACAAACATAACAGGCAGTATGTACACATACTGAGGAAGACGACTTTGTAATAGATACATTTGATAGACTACTATTAACCATAACAAGCACGTCTGGGAATGTACAGAGAAGCAACCGACCCTTCATCTTCTAGATGGCTTTTCTATTTGTATAGTTTACAAATATTTAAGGACTATGAGGGAACATTTTGTTTGGGTTGCTTTGTTACACTTCAGAGCATTTATACCGATTTTATGCACTTTAAGATGCCTTGAAACTAGCACAGCACACATAGATAATTACTAGACTAGTATTTAAGCATCTCTCAGACTTTACTGGAGTTAAAGATCATTCACCTCTGATTAAATTAGACTTTTTCAAGTTGAAAATAAAAATCTCCAATTCAACAAACAGTCCCCTCCCCCAAGCTTTGTGTCTAATTGAATTGGGTTTAATATCTTCCGAGTACACCCACAGTATTAGTCTTATTAAGCGGAGGAGATATTAAAACTATTGTGCAGTGGATATGAATTCATTACTTAGCACCCTTTGGAAAAACAGTTTACTTTTATGACTGTTTCTCTGCTAGGTCTCTATTTCTTTTCTCCAGAGATTCCAAATCCAATTAAATGTGACTAGAAGTAATTCCAAATTGTCACGTTAGCCAATTAAACATATAATAATCCTGTGTACCTAATCACTAGTACCAAAAGTTCATTTATTTAAGTAAAGCTATCATTGTACCCCCGAATGTTTTTCTTATCTTTGCCTGCAGATACGTGTTATTTCTTGACATCATTGTAAATTGAATTAGAAATTTTCTTTTCCTAAATATAGTTGGTCTAAGGCACAGCAGTTGTAAACTTACTATAGTACTCTGTTGAAAGAGCTAAAATGTTTAGATTCTTGCTCGGGATAGGCAAAAATTAGAACTTTCAAAGTTATACATGGGGTGTCGGAAAGAAGATGCCCACAGACATTTCACAATAAATGATGATGATGTCAGAGTAATCTTTTAAGATTCCTTTAATATTTTCCAAAGTCCTTAATGATAAGGAGAGTTAGGAGTTGTTGTGTTTTTGTTTTGTTTGTTTGTTTATTTATTTAGTTTTTTTTGAGAGGTTTTCGCTATAGGGTGCGTGTGCTCGCCAGACAGACAGAGAGAGACAGAGACAGAAAGCGAGAAATCACCCCCCCAGGGGGGATGGTCACGCCGCAATCCCTTCTCCTCCATTCTCCTCTTGGGATCTTGGGCACGCACGCACACGTGCCTGGCGTGGAGAGCTAGGAGTTTTTGATGTGTGCATGTGAATGGGGTAGAGGCAAGTTGCCAAAATCCCAGCCCGGAGAGTGCATTTCTAATATTTGCATTTTGATGGGAGCACTTGGGAAACTTTTCTTCTCGGGACAACCCAAAAAGGAAGTCTATTTGTCACATAAGTGACTGTTCCCTAACAGAAATTCATTTGATGAATTCTGAATCTTAGAAAGCAATGTAAACTCTAGATCTTCCTCTCAAGGGCAGCGTGGTCTATTTCCAGGAGTTTGGTACTGAGGTGCTGCCTTGTGCCTAGCCCTCCTGGCACTTCACGAGGACACCAGCCATCAGGTAAACCACAGGTGGGCAAATGTTCCTTGCAAAGAATCACATAGTAACGTGTTAGGCTTGGTGGGCCATGTGGTCTCACCACTCCTCAACTCGCCTGGCAGAAGCAGCTCTCGACCATACATAAACAAGAGTGGCCGTGTTTCAATAAGGCTTTATTTATTAAGAAAATACGTACTGGGTCAGATTTGGGGGCAGTCCGCCTAAGTCTAAGCTAAACTAATTATTGGGTTGGTCAACCATTGGTGGACACTGGTGTAACTGTCAATTGATTAATCAGACACCAGTTTCCATGCCTTTCAGCCACACGCCCTGTAGACATTTCAGTCTGCTATTTTTTCTTTTTTGTTTCCCCTTTCTTCCCCCAGGGATAGCATTGCACTAAAATTACTGAGTAAAGTTCAGGAAATAAACTTCAGAATCTTAAAACATGCTAAAAACATACACTATGATCCTGGATCACGAACACAATGAGCAAGATAGGAGGGAGGTCACTGCAAGGGGGAGCCAGGGCTTTCCCACAGTTTTAATGCTTTTGGTAACTTAGTTTTAAATTCACCCTCATAAAATTAGAATTTTTAGCATTTTTATTAATGTTTTCCAAAGTTGCTTTTTAAAATGTGATGATGTGTTGTCAAATTGTTTGCTATATTCTGTTTTTCTAATTATGATTTTTGGTTTACATGTCATCAGTGATATGTGTGGGCTCTGGGATGGTTTTTACAAACATGCCTGCAGTGTGTGGAATAGAAGCAAGTGTACACAGTCATGCTCTTTAGCACCGAACATCACATTAGGCTGTGCGTATCTGTTAATAGTTCCATTATTTTCTTTTTAAACTATAGGTGGAATTGTCTGTATTTCTACTCTTCGGTGCTATACTATCCTATAGCTTCCTCTCCGTATTTACTTACATTTTTTTGTATCTGTTGCTCATTTTCTCTTGAGCTGTCGTCTCTACACCCTCCCACTGCCCCTGATGGAACCACCTCCAGGGATCTGCCATTCCTCTGTTTCTGAGCTTTTCAGTCCTCCAGTTTCCACCATAGAGTGTGGCTGTCTGGTGTATGCTAAGAAAGGACATATAGTATTTGAGTTTTATAGTCTGGCTTATTTTATTTAGCATTTTACCTTCTAGCTTCATCTACTTTTGGTCAAATAACAGGATTTTGTTGTTCGTTATGGCCGAGCAACATTCCACTGTGAGTTTATACCACGTCGTCCCAGTCCATCCATTGCATTGGGCCCCTTGGGTGGATTCCATGACTTTGCTGTTATGAGTAATGTTGATATACACACGGTTGTGCAAATGTCTCTTGGGTTTAGTAAGTGGGTATATACCCAACCGTGGTATTTCTGGATCATTCAATAATTCTATTTTTATGTTTTTGAGGAAGCCCCCCAATACTGTTTTCCACAGTAGTTGTACTAATTTATATTCCCACTACCAGTACATAAGGATTCCCTTTTCTCTGTAACCAGCCGTTGATATTCTTTGTTTTAATGATCATTGCCATTCTGACTAGGGTTAGGAATATATCGTTGTCATTTGGATTTGCATTTCTCTTATGATGTGAGATGCTGACCATTTTTTCATATTGTTTGCTACATTCGTAAGTGTAATTATTACTTGAGCCTAGGGTTCAGGAATACATAAATAATAATTATAATAAATAAAAAAATAAAAAATAAAAAATAATTTAAAGCATTAAAAGATTAAAAAAAATTTCCAAAGGAACTCAATTCCAAATGTATATTGAAACAAGGGAAGAATTCATTTGCACTGAAATCCGCTACTGGCCGTATCTGTGAGCACAATCATGGTAAGAGGGTACCAGTATGAGAGAAAAGACGGTTTCTGAAGGCACCTTACGTGCCGAGGTGCTTTTCTAACTGCCATGTAATTCTCTCAATATCTGGCATAGAGCTGTGTTCCTATTAGGAACACAATCTTGATTGTTGTTGCTCAACTCCATTTTCTTCCCGGTGGCAATGGCAGCTGTGCGTTCACCACCCACCTTCCTTTGTCTGGTTCACAGCTCTGCCCTACAGCTCAGCTTTTGTGAATGAGTAAAAATCAATGGAAGAATATGAAAAGAGCATGGGAATAACATTAGGCCATGCAATATTTGTGAGGCAAAAGGCAAGGGTTCCTCCCCACGCTGAATTTATAAAAAGCTGTGATAATTAACCAACTCACTGAGCATCTATACAGAGTCAAGTAATGTACAGGACCCTGGGTTCTGGCAGACTGGCCTCATGAATCGGATGTAAACAGTAGTCCATCATTCTTCTACCCGCCTTCCGGTATCTCTGTTTACCATTAGAATGACCTTCTAGGTGCTAGTCAATGTGATTCCATGTTGCTCTTACTTGTCTTTGTTTCACTTGCCATTATTCTTTCAGACTTACTTTCATGACTGGATGTTTTAGCTGCATGGAAACTGTAAGATCATGTTGGCCAAATCCCTTTAATTGACAGGTGGTGGTTTAATATGTCAGTTTTGACTCTTTACTAAGTGCTAAGCCCCATGTGAAGCACTTTATATAGCAGAATGTAAACCCAGCCCACCCACTTGTGCATGCGATCCCAGCCAGTTCGCCCACCCATGAAACTGTTCCAACAATTCTCTCACTCTCTGGTTTCTCTTCTGTCTTTCAACTTCTCTTTTTCTTCTGGAGCTTTTCTACCAGCACACAACAAAGCAGTTATTTTTCCTATCTTAAAACAAAACACCCAGAAGCTTCTCTTGACCCACCTTCCAGTTATCTATTGATTTAAATGTGAACGAGAGAGAGTGGGAATGCAGGGGAAGTGAGACAGGTGTTTTTGACAGGATCTTTCCATGTTGCAGTCCTTCCTCCCCAGCCTTGTAGCCAGCTGGGATCAAGGACATGATGAGCCACCGTGCCCGGGCTGTTTCCAGTTGTCCCAGGATGCAAACCTGGACTCCCATGCAGCCTCAGCCACTGTGGAGTGGTGTCCTTCCACTGGCGCTCCAATGATCATCTTCCGTCCTTTTCTACCAAAACAAACAAACAATAAAAAGCCGACATCTCCTTCAAGAGCCTCCTGCATGCTCTCTCTGTCTATCATCTCGTTCTTTCTGTGATTTTTAGAGCTTATTCCAGCAGGGTTTTCATTCCTACCACTTCACATACAGAGACCGCTCTTGTCGGTGCTAGTAACAGTCTCGCGCTTCTAACTGCAGTGCCACCGGTCTTTCTGTATGCACTCTGGGTGCGAGGGCTGCAGCGGCTCACGTCTCCTCCAGCACGCCCTTCCCCACTGCCACAACTCTTCTCTCGGATTGCCTTCCTTCCTTCTGTGCTGCTGCACTTTCCAGTGTCCCACACTGGCATTTAGTCATCTCCCTGGAT